TTATTACTATCATATCTGTTTATTTCATGTCGAAACGGATATTTTTTAAAAAATATGACTTTATCCTATTTCAACAACCGAATTCAAAGTATTTTCAGAGCCAATTTCAGTTTTTGAATAACTGAAATTTTAAATTTTTGGTTCTTCACAAAGCGAAATTTTGTTCTCTTTTGTGCCTCTACGTCTCTCTCTACATTACACGAAAAATGGTTTTTTCTTTTAAGCTCTCTCTCTCCCCTTCGCCCAGCGTTTTTTTGGAGTAAGTTCATAATATTAATATTTTTCCTAAATTTAAGGGCTCAAAATAGATGTTCTCCTTTATTTTATCAGATAACCATAACTTCAAAGAGGTCGATCGGATAATCATGACTTCAAAGAGATAGAGTGAGAATACGCCACAAGATTTCGCCTAATCTTCTAATCTCATAATCCCTAATATTCTTTCCTAAATTTAGTTCTCCTTTATTTTATCGGATAACCATAACTTCAAAGAGGTCCATCGCATAATCATGACTTCAAAGAGATAGAGTGAGAATACGACACAAGATTTCTCCTAATCTTCTAATCTCATAATCCCTAATATTCTTTCCTAAATTTAGGGGCTCAAACTAGTTGTTACCCTTTGATTTTGTTTGATAACTATGACTTCAGAGAAGTAGAGAAAATACACACAATTGAGAGAAAACATTTCAAGAACTTAAAATTTTAAATTTTTGGTTCTTGAATAACTGAAATTTTATAATTTTTGGTTCTTCAACAACCAAAAATTTTAAATTTTCCGTTCTTGCAGCACCAAAATTTGTGTATTTTCAGTTGTTCAATAACTGAAAAAGGGTAAAGTTATCTATTTTCAAAATTTTCGTTTTAACATGAAAAAGAACGGATGTGATGGTAATAAGGAAAACTATTCAATAGAGCCGTAATAATGGGAAACTATTCGGTAGAACTGTAATAACGGAAACTATAATGGATATGTATGTAATTTGCCCTTTTTCTTTTTATCATGACTGCATTATTATTTAAGATTTTTGGATAACTTGGTTTTTTTTCCTTTTCTAATTTACAAATTTCAATTTTCTCCAAATATATATTGATTTGTGAATCTTCATTCCTTTCATAATATAATTCTTATATCTTTTTATTAAAAATTCCAATTTAAAAAAAGGGCATACCAATATTTTCACTTTTAAAATCTATTAACTTTTGTGATCGAAAAGAAAATGGTCAATAAATTCACTTTTAAAATCTATTAACTTTTAGTTTGATATTATAATTTCTAAATGTTTGAAAAATGATTTGTTAGATGTGAATATAAAAAAAAAAAAGGAAATTAACTCCCAATATTTATGAAATTTTTAAATAATTTATAAATATTCTACAAATTTGTGAACCTAAATTTTAGTTCATTACCAATTATACGATTATTAAAATAAAGAGATCTTAAATTCAAAGAAAAATTATCCATCATTTTTCCTTTTTGAATATTTTTAATGTTTCCAATAATAGGTTCCTCTTCTAATTTCATGCCATATATGCTGCTCAGGATTGTGGCTTAATATATTCATATAATATAAGGTTGTGGTTTGCACTTCCAAATTTTATCATAACATGTAATTTTGGTGCAAAATTTTTTTAGGATTATCTGAACATCTATTTTCATTTTTAATTATAAAATTTTAAATTATAAAAATAGTTAAAATCAAGTAGGTCTATAAATACCTGAAAACATGAAAATGGATGGTCAAGATAATGTATTGCAAGATGCACTATTTTTAAACTCAATCTTTTTTTCCTCCATATTCATGCATCTCTATATCGATCTGATCAATTAGAAGATTTTCAATATTAAAACAACATTTTTCAATAGATTTTTGAGGTGCATCTTTAATTCTACATTTTAAGTTGGCAACCTTATATAAAATTTTTCCATATTATAATTGATGATTCTAAAATAAAAACCAATTTTAGTTATAAAATCTTTTATATTTATGATTTGATACTTTTAATGACTTTAGATTTCTGTGATTACTCAATTTGTTGTATTTGTTGTTTTTTGGCTAATTCGGTGAGGAAGAAATGGCCCTACATGTTGTTTCAATAGATTAGAGAGTTACACTTCGAAAGTGTTAATTGGATTTGTCAGTGGCAGAAATGGATACCACGATGTGGTAACTGCAGTGGAGAAGCTCCATGACGACCCCAGCTTCTTTCCTAATTTGTTGTATTTCTTTAAGCAATGTTAACATATCAAACTATTTTTTTTTCAACAAAATTTTCATGATTTAAAAATAGTTTATGAAAAAGTTTAAAGCTTCTCACAGCAACTTTCAATAATTCACAAAATTGTTCTGGATTTCAAGGCAATACCAACCATAATACTACATTTCTTCGGTTGCTTAATTACTCTTACAAAGTATTAATAATTTTTTACAATTTAAGAAACTATCTTTCTGAGTTTTTAAGTACTAAAAATTCTTACTCCAAATTTTTATTGATTTAAAATTAAAATATACCCTTCGCTACAAGAAAATGTATAGTTATATTTCTGGCAAAAGTTACCCTAATGTTATTTTTGAATAACTATTCTTGTTCACTACTTTTTGCAAACTCCAAACTTTATTTTTAAAAAAAGGTTTGTGTGCTACACAGTGCTTAAATTTATGTAATTAAATTTTTCTATATTTTTATTAAAAATTTACAAATTTCTCAAAAATATACCATGTTGTTTCAGTAATCAGATGAATTTTCTCACAAAATATACCATGTTGTTTCAGTAATCAGCTGAATTTGTAATCTATGAATTTCTTTCGCTGTTTTCAATTCATAATTATAGCTTTTAAACCTTAAAATTAATTTTACTATATTGACTTGAAATAATGATGAAACCCTTGAATGATGTACAATTAGCATGTGTAGTAGTTTAAATGGCAAGACTTGGTGTTCAGTGTTGATCTTAAAGTTTATTTTAGAACTTAGTTATATATGTTTTTAATAGACATGTGAAGCACATGTTAGCACTTCAAAACTTCATTGACAACTCGTTTCTTGTATTTTTTTTAAGAATTATTGAAATAAAAATATTCCTTTTCTTAGTAAATTGTTCACGACCTAAAAATAGTTTATGACCAAGTTTCAAATTTTAACGAAAATTTTAGAACCTTCACAAAAATTTAGTATTTTTGTTTATATCAAGTAATGGGAAACCATATTTGTTGTTCATTAGTTAAAGAACTTGAATAAATTTATATCTATCAATATTTAATTATTTTAAAATTATTTACAATAATTTCCAAATAATTAGAAAAGTCGTTATTCCTCTATCTCTCATTAATATCTATGTGCCACATACAACTAATTTCCCAATAATTAGAAAAGATGTTATTCCTCTATCTCTCATTAATGTCTATGTGCCACAAGTTATCTACCAAAAAGAAGATGTCTCAACAAGAGTGTTCCCATGTCCGATCTAATTACATGGAGTCCAATTGACCACTCAATCTAGGAGAAGTGGGGTGGTATTTGGGCTTAATAAATGAGCATGAGATAATCCTGCTTGAATAATGACAAACCATCAGGTGGCTCTTGAGCTTAATAATTGATTTTTGAGAAAGATTAAAATGGAAGTTCAACACGCTTCTATTACACAGGTAGATATTTTAAAACTAGTAACTAGTCAACTCTTATAAAAAGAAATGTATGTATTTATCTGGTTGTTGTATGGGAAAAAAATATTTTATTGAATTAATAGGTGATGTCAACTCTTCTAACACAACAAGTTGTATATATCAATTGTTACGTCCATAATACACTTTCAAGTGGACTTTTAAAAAACCTCTCGATCTGAGCAGTATTCTCATGAATCGTAACATGCGTAGCACTGTTCATGCCATGAGTACCGGTCTCTTATCAAAACGGAATAAGCAAAATTCGTCTTCTTGAACAATTCAACATTTGTCATAAAGTGCTTTTTTCTAGCAACATTATCTTACTTCTTTTAGCTGCTTGGTACACGCGAAAATATTTTCATGAAAGTAGTTTCCCATGAAAGAACTTTCTCATTTGATTAGGTGTGGGAGTTTACTCACACTAATTAGTTGCCAATTGATGTGAAAAAATATATTATATCAATTGGTGTGGAAAAAGTCGCTTAAATACAAGGAAGAGTTCTTTCATGTGAAAATACTTTTGTAACACGCACCAAATGTGTTTTTGGAAAAAGCTTTTATGCTCTTGATGTTACTTTGAATGAAGCTATTTTTTTTTTTTGGACGAGAGTGTTGCATATTATTTAAAACGTGGAATCACTACAACCATAACAGCAGAGAAAATGAAAAAAAGAAAACCAACATTAGAACAAAGAAAGGGAAACCCTTAAAGAGGGAAGGCATGCCCGCTTCTTGGCAAAGTCATCTGCCAAAGTATTAGCCTCTCTATATATATGGTTGAAAGTAATATTCATACGTCAAAGTGTAATAGATAAGCAGTTACACCAGTTCATCGCATTCTTAGAGTCCCCTTCCACAAATAGGGATCCTCCAAGCTCATCTTCTTCCATAGCTTGATACCTTGTTGGACCGCTGCTATTTCAGCATAATTCGCATTGGTATCACCACACAGTCCTGCAAAACAGAAAGCTAAATTCTGACTTGAATCCCTGAATTTTCCACCCACCTCAGCCATACCTGGATTTCCCATAGAAAAGGTAGGGCTATTACCCCTTCAAAAAGAAAGCCAAATATTGCAATGATATTCCCAATGGGTGCCAATGATATAAAAGTGATCTAAGTCTGACTGGCGCTTTGGTTAGTTTTTTTTTTACGATTGTAAGACTAGGATTGATTGGTTGGCTGTCCTTGAAGAAATACGATCCGATTAAGAGAACATAATATTGGAATCACATGTTTCATATAATATTACAATGATACCCCAATTAATGCCTATAAATACCGCTTCTCTCTCAAGTATCATCACCATCTATCTCTCTCTGGATGGTCCTTTGATAGCCTAGAGCTATCTTGGTCCATTAGTCTTTGTTGCTCCTCTCATTGTGCTCCTATTTGTGCGTGTAAGCGCACTTTTTTTTGCAAACCCCACTTATAATTGACTCCCAAATACTATCCTTCATTTGCCTCAGCTCCCTGATCCCGCAAAGGTATAATCTTCCCGATTTTGGTCCTTTCCCCGGGGTTCTATATCTCTCTCTAATATAACTGGGCTAATGCTTCCTAATTTTTTGAGCTAAACATTTCTTCTCCTTCATTATTCCATTCCACTTAGTATAAATATCGCACTAATATTCTTATAATTTAGGTGTTTTGATGGGATTCGGTGTATTAATGCACGATTTTCAAGTGTAGTTTTTTTGCTTTAGTTTTGTACATTTTGATAGGGGTGAGCCATGCAGGTCTACCAAGCATTACTTGTTCATAGCAGATTTTCATTTAAGATCATCTACAGGTTTTCTCTGTTATCTTTTAATTACTCACTACTTGAGCGACTCTGCACTGAATCGAACTCGCACTTACCGGAGTTACTAGCCTTGAGCCAGGGCTGAGTCCCATGCCTGAGGCCGGTCTTAAAACTTTGGTGCTGACTGCACCTCCTAGAATTCCCATGCGCGTTCAAATTCCACTGTCAAAACCTTACGTCCTATGCTCTCTTTATTTTTTTGTTTTAATCATGGTTCAATAAAAATAGATGCACTGCTTCCTTAAAAATCACAGCTATCACATCTTCTCTCTTGTTGACTTGCTTAAGTGTGACAAATCGATGGGTCCGAAACCAGCCAGGTAAACCGAAACCTGGTGTGGGTCAAGCCGGTTTTGGCCGATTTAGGTGGCCCTGCCGGTTATTTTAGAAGAATTCAAAAAAATATAGAAATAAAGTCTCAAAAAAAAGATATTTGTTTGTAGTGCGTTTTTTAATGTTGTTTATCATTTTGGCAAAGATTGAAATGTATTTTGGCCAGAAATACTTATTATTACATTTTTTTCTTCTTTTTAAAATTATTTTCAAAATTACTCCTGGGCACAAATCGAGTTTTTAAAATCCACTTTTTTCATTTCATTTGATATGTTTTGTTTAATTATGCTTTAAATATATTTTTCATATATTTTATAATTGCTTTGCAGTGTTAAATTTTTGAACAGCCCACGGGACCTGTACAGTTAGCTTGGTGAACTGGCCAAGTTTCCAAGTTATTCTGACCCGGCCCTTGGCCAGTTTCCGGGTCGGGTTCAATTTGTCGAACACTGGTTTATCCTTTTTCTCTATCCTGAAATTTATATGTTCTTTCGAACAGGAAACAGTTAACTACTTCTTTCGTTATTATTCCATGTTTTGCATTTGTTATATTAAAAAGAACTATTCAACAAAGCATCTATCTAAATGCTCGATGTAGGGTCGCTATAGTGGGGATGTCCTACTTACATGGAAGAGAAAAGTAATTTTAACGAATCAACTTCTCTTGGTTATCCAATACCACAATGATAATATCTACATCTTCCATATGTAGATTGCAAATATTTTCCTAATGTTCCAAAATTTCCCTCACCATTTCTTTGACATCAAATAACCTATATTCGCACCATTAAACGATATATATGCTTATATTACTTTCTAGACAATTAAAAGGACCAAATTATTTTGGAGAACAAGAGAGAAAGCACTTCATTAACTTCATGCGTTCATTTGATATTCACAAAGTAGTAATGCATCACTCCCATAATTATGAGTGAAATGCTAGAATGTAGTGAGAAATACGGGCAGTGATTTCATGCAACGATTGTATCATAGTATAAATCAATCACACTTCATAAAACTATGTTTGTAGTATTTGTATGACCCAAACTTTTGCACACACACTCTTTATCTCAATAATCGATTCCAAAAAAAAAAAAATCAATTTGAACCCCTATATATGATCAAAATGAGTCCCTTTCAACAACAAATCTAGACCACTCATTTGATGAATTTTAATATCTTAGCCTTTATAAACTCAAAATCACTTTTTTCCTTTTTAACATTATTCATCTAATGATAATAAAGCCATCTAAAACAATTAAAAAAGGAAAAATCCTTCTAAGACCAAGATCTACGCATCTCACCAAAATGGACGGTCTATGTTAATTGGGGTAAAAAATTACTTTCGAGGTTGCTTTTTTTTTTTTTTTTTTTGTGATTGTCCATTAGAATTAAAAGAGTGTATGTTTCAAATTTTGGATCAAATAAATGGCCCTAACATGGTTTTTGAAGGTTGTTGCATGAAATCTGCCCAAAAAATAATGAGTATGAGGATTTAATAGAAGTGGCTCTGACCCTAAGCTACTTTATAGCATTTGCAGCAATGTGGCCATCCTTAATTCTCTTGATAGTCCTATTCGAAGGCATTTCTTGCCAATCGGTTCCGGGAACACCGATAAACAGGAAAGAGGTGATCACAGAAGAACATGGTGTTGTGGCGGCAGACGATGGTCGTTGTTCCCAGATTGGCAGCACAATTCTTCAAAGAGGGGGTCATGCAGTTGATGCATCAATTGCCACTGCATTCTGCCTCGGTGTTGTTAGCCCAGCATCAAGTGGAATCGGTGCGGGTGGTTTGATGTTGATTCGATCTGCAAATGGGCTTGTGGACGCCTATGACATGCGAGAAACTGCTCCAGCAGCAGCTTCAAGGGTAAAATAACGACGGCATTGCTTATTTTCTATTTTAGCAAAGAAAGTTCGTTTTCTCTCTAATTTTCATTTAATTCTTGCTTTCATGGACGTATGAAACTCTCAGAATAAGCTTAAGATAAAAATATAAGGCTACATATATAGTTCAAATAAAATACCGTGAATACAACTTGAACAATTCTTTTTGTGACCTTACAAAAATTAAACATTTAAATGGAATACTCTATCATGGATCTAGATCAAGATCTTGTGCTAGATGATCCTTTTTCTAGTATTTGTTGAACAAACAAATCCTAAAACCATTAACGAATGGAAAGAAATGCATTTATAGGATATGTATGCCAATGATCCCACCGCAAAAGAACAGGGTGGACTAGCTGTAGGAGTTCCAGGACAAGTGCTAGGTCTCTACACGGTGTGGAAGAAATATGGCAAGCTCTCATGGAAGGAACTGGTGAAACCTGCAATTGCACTAGCAGGAAGGGGATTTAAGCTATCTCCTTATCTACATTTTCAAATGACACAAGTGGAGCCGGCAATACGAAAAGATGAGGGTCTAAGAGAGAAGTTCATGGCAAATGGGACACTCTTGAAGATTGGAGATATAGTTCGTGATGCTAAACTTGCGAGGACATTGAAGAAAATTGCAGATCATGGACCGTCAGTGTTTTATACTGGTTCAATAGCGGTCGATTTGGTTCATGATATCGGAGAGAAAGGAGGGATAATCACAATGGAAGACTTAAAAGGTTATGTGGTCAAACAAAGGAAGCCAATTTTTGCAAAGGTCATGAACCACGAGATTTTTACTATGCCTCCACCTTCTTCTGGTGGCGTTGGCCTGATAATGGTGCGTAATTCTTCTCAATTCACCACGGATGACTCTCTCTCTCTTATCCAATTTATTCATCTAATAAATCAATCCCATTTTTTCCTTTTTACGTGTCTCATTTTTTTGTTTATTGCATGAGAATATATGAAGAATGCATTTTATGTTGTAGGTTTTGAATGTACTTGCTCAATATGGTAGTGCTGAAGCCCTTTCTGGAACCCTTGGACTTCACCGATTGGTTGAAGCGATGAAGCATATGTTCGCAGAGAGAACCAATCTAGGTGACCCAGACTTTGTGAATGTTGAACCTGTTATATCTCAAATGCTTTCCCTCAAGTTTGCAAGAGAGGTGAAGAGTAGGATAAATGATAGCACAACTCATAATCCCGACTTCTATCTCGAAAGGTAATAATAATTGTTAAAGCTTTAACATTAAACCCGCATACAGACACAAAAAAAAGAAAAAGTACAGGAAAGCGTTTCATTCAAGCTTCTTATCTCACTAGCTACCAACTCAAAACTTAGAGTGGGATACATCGATTTTATTTGACATGAAATTTCTCCTTGCACGTATGTTGCGAAATTCTTTTTTGGTTGGTAGATTTCACTGCATTTTTTGTGGTGAAGAATTCCACAGAAAACCATTGAGCCCTCTTTCTCTCTCTCTCACATTTGTCATCAATGTTGTATTGCACTTTGAGGGACTTTTTGCATTTTAAACTTTCAATTTCAAAGCGAATTTATCGGTTGTTTCTTGCAGGTATAACCAAACCATAGACCATGGCACGAGTCACATGAGCGTGGTTGATAGTGAGAGAAATGCAGTTGGCTTGACGAGCACTGTTAATAATTTCTTTGGAGCATGGTTTCGGTCTCGAAGAACAGGCATGATACTCAACAATCAGATGGATGATTTCTCCATCCCTTCAAATACTACTTCAAATACCACCATGCCTCCGGCTCCTGCAAACTTTATCGTGCCACACAAAAGGCCCTTATCCTCCACAATGCCCACCATAATCCTCAAGGTCAGCTCTCTCTCTCTCTCTCTCTCTCTTGAATGAGAATTACCTTCTTACTGCATGTTCCATTTTATGTTAAATAGGATGGGCAACTTAACGCTGTGATTGGTGCAAGTGGAGGACCAAGAATTATTCCTGCAAACATACAGGTCTTTTTGAATCATTTCGTTCATAACATGGACCCCTTTTCTGCGATTTTGGCACCTCGAGTCTACCATAGGGTATATTTCTCTTTGCCTTCCACTTCTTCATATGGTTTACTTCATTTTTTGTAGATGAATAGGTTAGGTTGCATTTTATTACCTCAGAGAGGTAGCAGTGAAATGTGTCCCTCTGATATGGAGGGAACAAAATCATGACTTTAAGTCCTATAAATATTGTTTTCCAACAAAAGAGAAATCAAAGAGAGAGATAGAGATGAGTTTTAACTTCTGATTGGTACAAGGAGTTCAACTGGTTTTGGGGACCTCACTCTCTCTTTGACGAAGTGAGAGATATTATTGTTTGTGTTCTTGAACATATTATAACTTAGAAATGTCTTTGTTTTGCAGCTCATACCTAACTTTGTGGAATACGAGAAATGGGACACAGTGAGTGGGGATCACATTGAGGTGAGCCTTCGCGATAGGTTAGGGCTAGCAAGGAAGGGTCATGTCCTTCAAGCCTTAGCATTTGGGGCCAAATGCCAATTTGTGGTTCAGCACCTCCCCACCATGGCAAAAGGAAAGAGCATTATTATGGGAAATCTTACCGCCGTAAGTGACCCACGAAAGGGAGGTTTCCCTGCCGGTTACTGATCGCTATCTGCATCTCAAATAAGGAAGCCCATTATCTCTCTCATGGCTTCGCCGTGCAAAATAAAGGGTGGCAACTTCTTTGTGTTTTGTCCCATCTCACTATTTATTGTGAAAGGGAAATAAATATCTTGTTTTTTTTTTTTTTTAATGTTAAGGGGAAATGAATCTCTTAAGCTTTGTGTTAATGTGATCTATCTAAATGTGCTCAGGTTTTTTTACATTATAAGTTCCACTTCATGGATACATCCAAAGCGTCTAACTATCCATCATCTACAATGGATTCTGTTAGGACCCTCATGCACATTAAGTATTACCTCATTGTACGCAATACTTTTTTTGACACTCATTATCCTTATTTTATGATACAAAATTGTTTGATAAAAGATATTTTTCATCAATAGGAGCATTACCCTTATTTTATGATACAAAATTGTTTGATAAAAGATATTTTTCATCAATAGGAGCAGTACAATAGATAGTTAGGTAAAAAACTAGTAAAATTCTTCTTGCTGTTAAAAAACTATTAATGCTCTATACAAGTGATGTTCACCTCATACTACAATTAATAAATATTTTGCCTTCTATAAAAAACATTATACTTCAAACTTGATTGATTATTAAATATATCCCTAGGCCAAAAAATAACTCCACTTTGGTGTCCAACAATACATTAAGAAAAAACTCAATGTGTACAAGTACCCTAATAAAACCGATCCACCCTAATAAAACCCATCCAATAGCATATTTTCTATCAATAAAAGGTCTAATGGATAATTTAAGTGGTAGAACTACCTGATTCCCATGTATTTATGAAAAAAAATGTCCGTTAAACCTTGGCTTAGTAAAAGGTAGGAGGGATAAGCATTTGAAATCTTAAACTTTCTCAAAAAATTAAGAAAGGGTAACCTCATCCTTGCTATTGAAGGGAGCCCAGTAACCTCATCCTTGCTATTGAAGGGAGCCCAGTTGACCACTCAATCTACGAGAAAAAGTGGGATGACTCATGATTTTAATAAACGAAAATTACATACGAGAAAAAGTGGGATGACTCATGATTTTAATAAAGGAAAATTACAAAAAATGCTTAAGACTGCACTTTCTATTCAACTTACTCCCAACCTAATTTTTTTTCTCATTTTTTTCTCCAAAATTTACTTTCTATGCAAACATCCCTCAACCAAATAAAAAGTAAAAAAATGCCTAAACTACCATCCCTTACTTTTACCTTGCCAACGGCTCTTTCTCCTCTATCCCACCAAAATAGGAGCTCGGACACTGTGTAAATGCGGTCCAGCAGGAGGGCTCCGGCACTGTGTAAAGTACAGTCCGGCAGTAGGGCTTCGGTTGCAAAGGGAGGTCCAGCAGTAGATGTTACTGAATTCCAGGGCTACGACACTATGTAAAGGACGGTCCGACAATACTAGTTTCAGTTCAGTAGTTGTCTTAGGGCGGTCGGCCACTTGTGCGCTTGGGCAATGTGATGGTGCACTCCGACAATGTGCTACTGGGTCCGAAAATCAACGTCAAATGTGGCCAAAATTATTTTTGTATACGGAAAGGAAATTTCCGTCTAAAAAATGAATTTTTTCCTTTTAGGGGTATTTGAATAAACAGTTTGTTTTAGAAAAAAAAGTGAGAAAAAATTAGGTTGGAGATAAATTGCATAAAAAGTGTGGTCTTGAGGTTTTTTTTTAGTTTTCCCTTTAATAAATGAGCTTGGCCTTCCCATGTACGATTAGACATCACACTAATTTTTTCTGAAAGAAAAAGAACTTAGGCTATCAGAATACTTACTTTTAATTAAAAATGAGAACTTGTCAAAACAAAAAATATATATATATATATATATATATATTTATTTATTTATTTATTTATTTTGTTACTGTTGTGTTGCACTACAAAAACAACGGTTGGCTTAGCTAGTAAATCTCACTCTCTTTTTTTAAAAAGAAATAGATATTAAAATGCATAATGGACGTCGCATGTGGGTTTTTTTTTTTTTTTTCTTGCAGAACGTTGCCATATGCAGCCTGTGGACATCTCAAAAAGACTCTTATCCAGTGGATAGCCCAATTCATACCTTTAAAAAGAAATAAACAAAGATCAACTAAAAGTCTTCTTGCTCCGAGTGGAACATACTTGTCATTTACTCCATCAGGTAAAACTCAATCTACGAATATTTTAAGAACCCCAAATTTTTTGGATGCAAGTTCTTCAACTCAAAACAAACAACCTAGTGGTAACCTCAAAACTATTAGTAAGTGTGGAAGTGTGCCTGCACTAGGTTTAATATGGAAGTGAGGCCGCATTAGGAGTATTTTAAGAACCCAACCTAGTCTTTTGTAACCTCAAAATTCTAGGTTCAATGGTTATTTTGATCATTAAACAACAAAATTTTCTAAGCACCCATTCTTAAAAAATCTATATGATGGATAAGTCTAGTGATGATCTATATCTTAGTAGGATCAGTTATGCTCTTAATGTTATCTATAGACTATGTACATAAGTCAAGAGTGTTTTATATACAGTGATAAGGCCGCTTCTTATGAGATGAGATTCGTCTCCAAAGTATTTATGAAATCAGAATCTAAGCACAAAGCCCAAAATGTGCTGGTAGCTAGAGAGACATCAGAGTTGAATACTATTTGTGAGTTATACTACCGCGGTACTTGATGGACTTTATAGTATATATTCCAAATGAAAGTTCAAATCGAAAGATACTTTCTTGATATGCAAATAATATACTTCCTATGTTTTTTCTTGTTATTTTGAAATAGTGGAGGAAAATACTAGTTTTTTTCTTTTTTTTTGAAAAATACATATATGTATTTCAAAACAACAAATACGGTTTTGTGGTATTTTTTAACCTTTATTTTATACAGAGAAAGAAAAAAAAAAAAACTGTGGGTTTTAATGTCCCACATTGAATATGAGAGTTTATTAAGTTGTATTTAAGAGCATGCATCTCCATACATAATATTCTTAGTACAAAAGAGAAAATGATGGTGCATGTTCGAAGCATACGAACGTAAGAGTGTGCGTGTGCAGCCTCCTTGTGGCTTTATAAGATGGGGTCTTTTTCCCATACGAGAGTTTTTTATAGTAAAAATTCTCTAAAATTACCATTATCTGCCATTTCCAAGGAGCAAAACCAATGGACTCCTCTCTCTGTACTCGTTTTTCCTTCTTTCTCTCTCTAAACAAACTCAAGAAAGTTTCGAATTTTCTTTTTTGCAATTTGTAGTATCTTTTTTGTCCCCTTTTTCACACAATTCTCCTAACACCTCGTCCACCCGGACGGGTTGTCGAGCACTAGTTGAGAACCACAAATTGATAGGTTGCTACTGCGAGAAATATGAACTAAAACATGAATGAAGAAATTTAAGTCAAATAGAAATACACAAGATGGAAGCAAATGGGTCCATTTGATGAATAAATTGTTCAAAAAGACCACTATAACAGCAAGAATTATTCTGTCTCCTACGCTTGCACCAATCACACCCTTACGCTGTCCTCCTCATTTAACATAAATGGGATATGTAATGACAAGGTAATTTTCACATGGGAGAGAGGGAAAAGTGGGGAGGGGGGAGATCTTGACAATTAACAGAACTTGTCAAGACAACTGCATTTCTCTCATTATCAACGACGCTCAGGTGACTCATGCAATGGCCTGGTATTTGGGCCTACTTGAAAGAAAATGGTTGAGATTCAAAAATGAAAGGTTTAAAATATGGGTGAGGTTTGTATAAGGTGCCCTCCTTTTATTGTAGAAGTATGGTTCGCCGTTAAATTTTATCTAGAAGTTATTCTGGTGACAGAAACACTATGATGGTTTGCAAATCTATTTTTATCCTTAGTTATAACAAAACAGAATTCAAAAAGGTATATAAATCAAGCATATCTTGAAGGGAAAAGTTTATATATGGTTGCAACCTTAAAATGTAGAACTATCGATGCACCTCAAAAATCCCCTGGTAAATGTTCTTTTAATGTTGAAAAACCATCTAATTGATCATCTTGACATCGAGATGTATGGCTGTGGAAAAAAAAAGGATTTTGAGTCCCAAAAATGGTGCAATCTTACAACACATTATCTAGACCGTCCATTTTCAATATTTTCATATGCTTATAGATCTACTTGATTTTAATCATTTTTGGAGTTTAAAATTTTATAATTAGATTTGAAAATAGATTTTGAGATAATCTAAAGAATATTTTATATCAAAATTATATGTTATGATAAATTTTAAAGGTACGTCTTAAATTGATTGTTTAAAGTTGCAACCTTATAGAAACCACACCCTATTTAGAAACACTTGAAAATAGATTATCTACATAATTTGTTACAAGATGTAGTATTTTTAGGACTTGAATTTCTTTTTTTCTTTTTTCCTTTTTTATGCATACATCTTGATGTTGAGATATGATCAAATTGGAGGATTTTAAATACTCTCTTCAAGATGATTTTTAAGGTGCGCCTTACTTAAATAATATAAGGTCGACATCTTATATAAAATTTTCCCTTAAAATGGGGTTACAAAATTTGGCCATTTCTGCTTCAGGAGGAGCATACAGTGCGTTCGCTCCCTCAAGGTAAAACCTATTTTAAGATTATTTTTCTAGCACCAAGTTTTGGGCATCTGGCCTCTAGAACCTAATAACCAATCTCAAACATAAAAAAATATCAAATACAACTCTATATGTGCCTCAAAAGACTATTTGAAGACGGAATAAGAACCGTCAAATTTTTTGAGGGAAAGATCTTGGTGTTCAATAATTTAAAATCTAGATTGTTTTCTTGAACATAATCATATGATGATACTTAAATGGCTCCCAAAATTTCCAATAAAAATAATTCTCCCAAGTTACTATTTTACCTGAGGAAGTTGTACAGTATGCAACCACATGAGCAAATGCTATATGCGCTAGAAATATAAAGGTGGCATAGAGTGCAATCAAATTGTCACTATCAATAGAGAGAGAGAGAGAGAGAGAGAGAGAGGTGTTCTCTATTGAGGTAACGAAAAGTAGGATTTTCTAATGCGATGAACAATGAGGCATGAAACAACGTTTTTTTTTCTTTTGTTTTCTTTTTTTGGCAATATTAAAAGGAAAAAAAAACTAAAAAAAAGTCAAAATTTGAGTCGATCAAGAGGTAATTTAAAAATAAAATGAGTTGATCTACTTTTTTTTTTGTAATTTCAGCTTATAAACGGAGCATTTTGTATTTTATTTAAAATTTTAAGATCAATACATGAATCACTCGTAGAACTATGTTCCCCGATAGCTTTAATCTTTTAGGCTCTATCAAAATTGAACGGTGAATTAATTTACTATTCCTTTGCATGATTCACGTTCATAGATACCAAGAGAAAGAAATCACTGCCCATCGTCAAGGAAAGAGAGGGAATGCCTCTATTCATTAAATGTGTCTATTTCAACTATAGTTAGCACACCGAATGTTTAAAAAAATCGGCGCATTTTTTAAAAACCTTTGAAAAGTTCGTCCAAAAAACGTGTACTTTTCAAAATACCTTAAAAACATGATTTTTTAAAAAACGAATAAAACAGGTCCAAAAAAACGAGAGGAGGGGGAACCGCTATCAAACCTATGTGAAAAAGTCCAAAAAAACGAGAGGAGGGGGAACTGCTATCAAACCTATGTGAAAAAGCCCTGCTCAAATCTGGGCAGTCCCTCCCCCTTTTGCAAAGAACTCTATCAAATCTCTTTGAAAAAAGAGTTTGATTTTGGTTTGATGGAGCTTTGAAGTGGCTTTAATGGTGGCTGTGAGTCTTGAACTGGTTTACTATTACAGTGCTTCGAATTTGCATCAATGACAGATCTTGAGTTTCCAAGAAGGGGAGGGGTGATGAAGTTGCAGAGAAGCTAGATCAAGCCCGAAAAGCACCATTTTGAGCTCTAATGGACTTGAATATTTCTCACTCTTTCTTGGTTGGAACCTTAGAATTTTCTCTGCAAAATTCAAATTCAAAGCTTAATCCAAAGACGAATGAATTTAAAGCCTAGTGTAAAGAGATTAATTGAGGATTTTGAAAAATCTAACTCAGCCAAAAGAAGAAAAATAAAAAAAATTGGTTTTTTTTCTTCAAAACCTTCCATAAACTTGAATTGGGTTTCTTCTTCAAAACCCAAGATAAAGTTTGGTTTCTTCTTGAAGTCCCTCTCTCTCAAAAAAAATACATCACCTTTTGCCTCTCATCTTGGATCAAGAATTATGGTATCTATCCCATAATCAATCCCAGGAAGATAAAGTTGAGGTTTCTTAGTAGTGTTAATCATCTATCTCTCTAAAAAAATGTTTTGATTTTTCACATAGGTTTGATCCGAAATTTAGTGAATCCAAAAATTTTTTGAGAGAGAAGGGGGAACTGCTATCAATCCATGTAATATTTCGGTTTGATCTAGCTTCTCTTTATATGGTGTAATTTTTTATATGTATTTAAGTAGGTTTGATATGGTGTATTTTTTTATATGTATTTATCAAATTTTTTGAGCCTAGTCCAATATATTGGTGATATCTTTACATGAAGTATTGTTGTTGATCCGTAGTTTTTTATCTAACTTTTTCATCCGACTTTTTAAAATAAAAATAAATTTCTTTTGATATTAAGGTAAGAAGATTTATTGAAAATCCCCGACTTGCTAACTATGATTTCAACTAGAAGGATCCCCACCTCATTCAAGAGAGAAACATGAAGACCCCATTTAAACCTAGGTTTGGAAATGAGCCTGCGGCCTGGCCTAGCCAGTAAAAGTAGGACTTGGGCTATAAACTGTAGCCGAAGAGCCAGGCTAGGGCGGCCCGATTTGCCCAGGCCCGACCCTCTTTTCTTCTTTCACTATCTTCATTATTTAAGCCCAGTCCGGCCTGGGCCTTGGCCCGTTGCCACCCTTACAGCCAACTGCATTAAAGAGGGAGAGTTATAAATGAGTCAGTCACTGCACCCCTAACCCTAATAACTTCAACCAACACCCTTGTGCGGCCTAGAGAGAGAGTCTCATGTCTTAACTCACTAGTCACTACCCCTAAACCTTTTTATAGAAGAAAAAGTTTATATAAGGTGTACCTCATAAACTTATTGAAGAATGTTGTTTAGTCATTAAAAGCATTTTTCAATCTGTCATCTTGATTTCGATATGCATGGATGTGAAAGAAAAAAATGAATTTTAAGTCTTAAAATAGTACATCTTATAACACATTATTTAGACCGTCCATTTTAAGATCTTCAAATGTTCATCGATACAATAGATGTGCACTATTTTTTGCGCTTTCAATCTCATCATAGAAGTAAAAAATAGACTTTTAGACGATGATAAGAGAGTTTCGACAGTGAAAATATATCTTTTAACAAAATTTTAACCGTGATTTGATTGTTTAAGGGTGAGACCTTATACAACAAACCTTGAGTCATTGGAGAGAGAGAGATTGATCGATTGATTGTAGAGAGAGAAGGAAGCGGAGAGAAAATACATAAGAGAAGGAAAGGTTGGAAAGAAAAGAGATTTCGAAAATGTTGCTCTCTGTTTTGTACATCCCCTCTCCTCCTCCTCCTCCTCCTCCTCATCTCTCGTCCCCATTCCCACGCCAAGAGCTCAAGCCAAGCATCCTCATCATCCTCCTCATTCTGGCCACCGTTTTTCTCGTCTCTTTCTCTATACACCTCCTCATTCGCTTTTTAGAGAGAGAAACAAGACCCCACACCGACGATGAGAGAGATAGCACAGTCTCCCATTCCCAAACCCACTTCATTGAAACTCTCCCTCTCTTCTACTTCGACTCCATTACAGGCCTTGGATCTCGCCGCTCTGATTGCGCTATCTGTCTCTCTGAATTTAAACAGTCCGATTCGCTAAGGCTTCTTCCCAATTGCACCCACGCTTTCCACGCTCATTGCATAGATGCTTGGCTCACCGCTAACTCCACATGCCCACTATGCCGAGCCATGCTTTCTCTCTCTCTAGAACCCCACTCACTCTCTCTAGACCCCAATCCACCCACCATGTCCACTCTCCCTTCAAACTCCAGTACTCCGAGTTTATCAGATACAGCTGGGACAGGCCAAAGTTTCAGGCTAGAAATCGGAAGCTTTCGCGAAAAAAGTGAAACAAGCAGCAGCATTAATGGTGATGATATTAGAAGGTGTTTCTCGATGGGCGACTTCGAGTATGTTCTGGATTCTAGTGAGTCCCATGTGTTTATTACCAGAAGAGAACCAGGCCATCGCCATACTATATCAGAATGCGCAGCGGATTTGACTGAGAAAGGGCCTGATATTCAGAAGCTTGAAGGTGTCGGCCATGGAAGTGAAAGCGGCATTAAATCGAGCGGGAGGTGGTTGAAAGAGTACTTAGAAAAGTTAGTTTCTTCTTCTTCCGAGTCTGGTTCTTTATCTTCTAGGCGGGCTTTGTCTTTCTTTTCTTTTTTAGAGAAATCCTGAGCGAAAAGAAGAGAGAAACAGTGGGTGGTTTTCATGGTGTTTAGGCCAGAGAAGCTTCAATGCCTTTTCGCTAAAATTAAATCAAAAAGGTGTGTGCGCATTAAGGGATGAGGTTTTGCCATACCACAACAACAACAAAATGCTGCAGGGACCAAGGTATCCATCCCTATCTCGCGAGCGATGTTAAAAGTCATTGTTTATTAGAGTAATCCCGCGGGACTACGCTAAATTTGTGGTAGTAAAATCCTGATCCCGTGATAGCTTTATTTTATTGGGGATAATTGCAAAATAACACTGGCAATCTATTTTTATTCAATTCTCTCATAAGTTTTTTATTTTCTATGTACCCGAAGTTGTGGGGTAACTCACCTCACCACGAGAGCAAGCTCTCGAGTCCACGGCAAATGCCCATAGCACTGGCGTTTTGAATGCCTAATACTTCTCCTAGTTGTTGATTGAAGCTCAAAACAGACATTAGAAAAAATTGATTTGTTTAGTTATAGTATCGATTTCATGCATATTTTATTTTATGGTTACTGTGGCACATATTACTCGGACAGATTGCTTATCAAATGACTTAAGAACATGAACTATTCATCTACAATCGTCACTGAATTACAATCAAATTGCTTTGCCATTTATGACAAACTCTCAAGTTTCATTCTATGAATTCAATCGTTCTCCAATCTAAGTGGCATAAATTTAGTCATTTTAAATGGTAGTAGCTTGCCGTACTTGCCCTAGGTCTTGTCAGGCCTACGGCAGCTAGAGAAAAAATGTCTAAAGGCCTTTGGTCCTTTCTAGAGCATTGAATAACTTACCAAAACATGAAACATAGAGCAATAAAATAGACTTTCTAGCTGGATGCGTAAGCAATATTTAAGCAATATATGGTATATAGTCATTATCATCATTTTCATATTATCCAGGGTTGGCTACATAAATTTTGTTTTACCATTCTACTCTATCAAGAGCTATATCTTTAATCAAACTATAAGTTATCGTATTTCTTCTCACTACTTCCATATTAAATCTACGCTGTACATGACTAAACAACCTAAGTCTATTTTCTCTTATCTTATCACTTAGGGCCACCCCTAATAAGCAACCTAAGGCTATTTTTCCTTATCTTATCATTTAGGGACACCCCTAAGTTCTCTACGATGTATGCATTTTGAATTTAATCTTGTCTTATACACAATAGAAGCATGAACGGGTGAACGGTATATATGGTATACAACATAAGGATGAACGGTGATGTATATAAGATGACTACCATATAGTTGTTATTTATTCAAAATAATGGTTTTGATTTAGTCATTTCGATCAGGATAGGAATTGTGAGAAATATAGGATATAGGAACGAGTAAATGAATGGAGACATGTGGGATGGAGAATAAATGAACTTTTAGATTTGTTAAAAAAGAAAAAAAAAAGTCCCAATTTATGGCCCACGGACCCACTTATAAGAAGTCAATTAATTTATGGTGCACCGACGACCCATCTAAAAGGCGTATGAAAAGCTTCCAACACCCTCACATTCATGTCGCCACGTTGCTCGATTTAATGAGTGTCACGCGCGCACGCTTTCGCTCTGTCACGTATTCATTTCCATCTCTGAAAGTTGCGAGGCCCGCAAGCTCGCACTCAAGTTTTCTTCTCTATCCTTGTACATCAATCTTTTATGCCAAAAGCATAGATCTTATACCCGTATTTTAGTTGTAATTGAATAAATTTTTATTTTAAAATAATATTTTTTAAAAGATATTATTCTATTATTAAATTGTTTTTAATTGAATAAGAATGATTAATTATGTTTATGTTAACCATTTTTTATAAATACTATTTATTGATATAAAATATAAAAATATAAAAATTTTATTATTTATCACTAAATTGATATATTATCAAAATAAAATAACTAATATTTAATTCAAATACTGATAATTAATTGATAATGCTATGTAATTATATACCTAATGTTTCCCTACAAATCAGAGAGAAATGAGGTGAGAGAGAGAAAGATAGTGTGGAGAGAGAAAGAGATATAAAACATAATCTTCAACTTTCATATCTATCAAGAAGAAAAGTGGGAAAGAGAGGGAGAGAGAAGTAAATATGGGAGGAGAGATTTAAAAAAAGAGAGATATAATAAAATTATTTTTAATTATAAATACATACTATTACAAAATTAGATAATATGAAAATGCAAAAATATGTTGCATGATACATATAATAAACTCGTAATAAAAATATTCAGCACAGAATAAGAGAAAGCATGCAGGTACGTACTTGTTCCTCTTAAAGGATTTAGGAACCAATATATATCGAAAAATATTCAATATAAAGTAAATCGACCTAAACCCAACAAAAATCTCAATTCAAGTTAATAAGAAACAATACATGCTTGATGTATTTGATCAAATCATCTTGTAGGCAGATAAAAGGAACCCGGCCCATATATTATCAAATACCAAACCGCCAAACCAAACGAAAATCCCAGTTCAAGTTAATATAAAGCAGTACATGCGTGATATATTTGATCAGATAGTCTAGTAAGCAAATAAAAGGAACGCATGTCACATATTATCAAATACCAAAAGCCAAATTAACAATCCGTCTCAAAAGAAACCAATTATTTTCACATAAGATATATAAGCATATTCAACTCTAACGACACATAACACCACCATATTCGTACCTACATAAAAAAAATAGTCAACTCTAACAACACATAACACCACCATATCCGTACCTATTAAAAAAAATAGAGCATAAACATGCACTAATATATTTGAACTTAGAATAACTAACATTAAAGAACAAAAATAAAATAACAAAAGATAACCAAAGAGAGCTAACCTATTCTAATGCTCCAAAGTTACATGTAGAGATATGAGAGAGAGAAATTATGGCAATGATATAAATAAGAGGGGGAGAGTGGGTGAGACATTTTAGAAAGGAGAGAGATTTTAGGAAAGAGTGAGAGAGATATAGAGAGAGTTTGTTGAAGAGGGAAAGACTTTCAAATTTTGTGAGAGATTTAAGAAAAGAGATGATAGAGAGAAATAGTGTGGTGAGAAGGACGTGAGAGAGAGAGAGATAAAGAGTGAGATAAAGAGAGATAGATTGGAGAGAGAAAGAGAGTAACAAAAAAATAAACTTTTTATCTCTCTCTCTAACACACATCTCCTCTCTCTCACTTTCTAACTTTTTATCTCTCTTTCTCTCTTTATGATTAATGGATAGAAGAAGGAAAATTATCCAAAACTCTCTAAATGATAAGCCTTCTCTTTTCTCTCTAACTTTCTATCTCTCTTTCTCTTTTTATGAGTAATGAATACATAAAGAAAAAATTCTCCAAATATCTCTCTAAATGATAAGTCATCTAATGCTTACTATATTGCCCCCTAGAATAATGGTACATGAAGAGAGAGGCCGTGAGGAGAGTGTGGAGAGAGGGTATAAAGGTTAATCATCTAATGCTTTCTATATTGAACCCTTGAATAATGGTACGTGATAGAAAGAGCTGACGTGAGAAAGAGTGTGGAGAGAGGGACGTGAGAGAGAGTTAGAGAGATATATAAATTATAATCTTCACATTCCATATATATCAAGACCGAAATAGAGAAAGAGGGGGAGAGAGAATGACAGTGAGATAAATAAGGGAAAGGAGAGAGTTTGTTGGAGAGGGAAAAACTCAAATTTTGTGTGAGATTTATTAATGAAAAGATCGTAGAGAAAGAGAGAGGAAGTTAGATAGATAGAGAGAGAGAGATATAGTATGGAGAGAGGAGAAAAAAAAAAAGTGGGAGAGAAAGAGAGAGTAAAATAAGACATCTAATACTTTCTATATTTTGGGAAAGAGTTTTAAGGAAAGAAGAGATGGATAGAGAAATATAGCCTTGAGAAGAAGAAGAGAGAATGGATAGTGAGAGATGGTAATTATGGAATAAAAAAAGGATGGCACAAAAATAGGGAAGTGTTACTCTCACTTAATATATATAAATAGATAGATAGATATACTTCCCCATCTCCAACCGTTCATTCTGAATGGACGGTTGAGATTGTCTTAATCATAATGCTATGTCTCTACATTATTTTTTTAATGTTTTTTCTACAAAAATTATAGACACCAAATTTTGTGGTCTACGCCTTAAACTCTCACTTGTAAAAAAATATAAAAATAATATTTTCAATAAAATAAAATGACTAAAATGCCCTAAAAGATGCAAGGGTATTTTTGTTATTATATGTTATCAAAAATACTTTTTACTATTGTTTTTAGGTGCACTACCAAATTTCATATTCATATAATTTATAGAAAAAACTAAAAATAAAATACTCTGGGGTTCGAATATAGATCCAATGGTAAGTGGCTCACTAGATCTAAATTGGACGACTGGATGGAGGGAAAAGTATATATCTTCTATGCAATAGCAGAAGTATATAAATATTTTCATATTTATATATGGGGAATATTCACATGTGTTTTCAATATGTAGGTTTTAGATGATTTTAGCCCTTATGTCTAATTAAAAGCAGTTTTTAAGTATAAGACCGATGTTTTACCCAATGACCTAAGCACAGTAGATATATTGTTGGGAAAGTGATACAAAATCAATACACAAGATTAAAATGATCTTGGCCCTTAAGTTCGATTAAAAACAATTCTCAAGTTTAAAACCCATTTTTTACCCAATAAACCACATAATAGGTATAATGTTGGGACAGTTATGCAAGATCACCTCCCACTTAATATTCCTTTTTTTTGTTTTTTTGAGGTCATTTTAATCACATGAAAGATGACCTTTTATAGAGGCCCATAAAATCCATTGAGAAAACATAAGAGGGCGAAAGGAAGTTTTGATGAGTTAGAGATTTGAGTTTTGCACAAATCCTAAAATTGTTGTGCTCTTCTATTGAGATAGATTTCATCAGCAGTTCTTTACATCAATGAGTTTATCAAAAAACAAGTTGAATGATAGCAGTATTATGGTACGAAAACCAGTTTGAGTTTTCTTTGTCATTATGAGGTAATTTTTATAAAATCCACAAAACTTGCAAATTTTCTCTATTGATATTGAATCCATCATTGCCCCTTGTCCTTGGATGAAGTCTATGGTGGGTGAACCATGTAAATTAGTATATGTTTTTTGCTTTTGCTTATATTGTGGTTTGATGATTTCCATTTTAATTGTTTTTTGTCATGTTTTCAAAATTTATTACACATATTATTATTTTGGTAATTTTATTTTCTTGCAATCCGCTTGTCAGTGGCAAGTATATTTTGAGGCGTTGGATTTATTATCGTTGGAGTTCACCACAACCAGTAGGGCCTAGTGTTATCCCAATTGGCCAACACACTGCATATCGGATCTGAGCCTTTTTCTCCTTGCCCTTATGTTCACCATGTTAAAGCTGTAAGGCCCTCGCCCTTTAGTTTCTCTTTATCTTTAAACTCCGAACCTCTCAAACTCCTTTTTCTCCATAAAAATAGAACCGGAACGGTTAACCAAACATGGCCCTGAAAGTGGTTCAACCGGCCTAACCTGTAAATCAGTCGATTCCACCGGTCTAATTAAGCAAACGAAGAGCTCAGATCTTCCTCTTGTATTGTATGTATATATACTTGTCTCCATTAATGGAAATACACATGAGATTGCACCGAGTTAGATTACAGAGAGTCAATTCGACTTCTACATGGTATCAGAGTGGTTTTAGATTTCGCCCTGCACCTGTTGTGTGTCCTCCAATTGACACTGAAAGTCCTCGTTCCTCTTCGTGAGGTCCTCCAGGTTACTAGATATCCCAAGCTTCGCAATCTCAAGCTTGAAGGCTGATAGTTCGAAGCCGCCCTCACCCCCTGAGTCTTCTCGTTCATCAACAGTGTCTCATGCTTCAGCGAATTGGTCTGATTATTCTTCACAGTCCTCAACTACGATATCAGGTTTAGTGGAACTGCTTGCTTCGAGGCACCTTCCAAAGCCTATTGCAAAGTCTGCTACTTTTTCGCCATCAAAAGGAAACCTCCTATCACTTGCAGCGAGAAGGGGAAACTTTTCTCCATCACTAATTTGACTAAATTGATTGATAAATCTTCTCTGTCTCTGCAACAAAACTATTTTGCCTTGCTGTTGAGGCACTAAACTCTTTCCGAAGAGTTAAACCTACCACCTAGTCTCCATTGGAACCCAATTCTTTGTCTCTCAAATCCCAATCTTAAGCCCTTCATCATTATCCCTAGCCTTCTTGCTAGAAAACAATTCATCGTCAAAGAGATCATCAACCGGGGAACTTCTCCATTTTGGAGAGTTGCAATTACAGAGGATGTGTACTGGTTCGCAAAGATCCGAGAGGAATCGAGTGAAATCATAGCAACGCGTGCCCTCTACCTTCTGCCTTCTCTCTCTGAAGTTGCGAAACGTTTGCATGCTCTCTCTGTGTTCCGACTTTCTCTAAAGTGCGGGCTATCTCTCTTATGTTTTGAGTTGCCTCTTTCTTTCTCTAAGTTGTAGGTAACAGTTGTAGACTCTCAATAGCTCTCCACGCCTCTGCCTCTCTTTCTGTCTTGTTTTGCTTGTCTTTCTCAAATATAGTATCTACTCTCTCTCTCTAAAGAGTTAGGTCATATTTATTATTTCCCATTTTTTCTATCTCAGAGTCAAAGGTGAGAGTTCCCAAACAACAGAGTCATCCCTTCTCACTACTCTTTCACATCAACCCTCCTGAGAGAGAGGGAGATCCTATTTTTTACTTTCTTAGACCTTTATCCCAATATTCTCTCCCTGTTGTTTTCTTCCCATGGCAACACCTGAGAACGAGACCAACCAGAACAAATCCACTGGAGAAGCCGCTGATTACTCCTCCCTTCTTTCTGCATCACTCAGATAACCCAGAACTGATGCTAGTCTCTCAGCCTCTCACTGGAGACAACTATCCATTGTGGAAACGGGCTATGAGCATAGCCCTTGATGTCAAGAATAAACTTGGTTTTATCAATGGCTCCATCCTCAAACCGAATGAAAAACGCATCCAACTTCTTCTCCTGGAACCGATGCGACATTATGGTGCTCTTTTGGTTGTGGAACGGAGTCTGCAAGGACCTCACCAATAGCGTCATCTACTTTGAAACTGCGCGAGAGGTATGTGAAGATCTCCAAAGACGCTTTTCCCACGGTAAAACTGCTCAAATTTACCGCATCACTCGTGACATTTCTAATCATGTTCAAGATCAACTTTCTATGATGTCATATTACACCACACTCAAAGGGTATTGGGATGAATTAGATTATCTTTCTTTTCTTTCCAAGTGCTCTTGTGGTGTAGTCAAAGAGATTTCCCATCTTAAGCAGAATGAAAGAGTCATTCAGTTTTTGATGGGACTGATTGATGTTTTCTCCAACGTGAGAAGCAATATTCTCACGATGGACCCTTTACCCACCATTAGCAAGATTTATGCTCTCATCTTGCAAGATGAAAGGTAAAGGAGCATGCATCCATGACTGTCACAACCGTTAGAAGGGCCAGCCATGGCAGCTTCACACAATGACCGCTATAGCCGAGTCAGCGGCATACATGATTGGAAGAATCAAAACCAGTTTAAAGGATGTAATGGTAGACGAAATTCTCTTGGCCGTGACAGACCACGCTGTGATCATTGTGGATTTCTCGGTCATACTAAGGATCAATGCCGAAAGTTACACTGTCCTCAAGCTGATCACTCCAACAAAGAAAAAGTCGCCCCTGGCAAAAACTCCATCTCTGTGCACCTGTCACCAGAACAACATTCTCAGTTGATGTCTCTATTGTACATTGACAACAGTTTGTCTTCAGCAAACTTGACAGGTATGGCTAACTCTTATGCCTCTTTACATTCTCAGTCATCATCCTAGATTATAGATACAGGAGCATCAGACCACATGACCTCCTCCACGAACCACTCATCCACCAAACACCTTCTTCATCAACCTCAATCCGTTAGGCTACCAAATGGAGATGTTGTTAGTGTCTCTCACAAAAGGCAATGCTCTCCCTCACCCTCACTCCAACTCAATGATGTGTTGTGCACACCTTCTTTTGATTTAAATTTACTTTTCATCAGCAAACTGACGAAAACTTAAAATTGTGCTACCATTTTTTTCCCTAAATTTTGTGTTTTTCAGGACCTAGCAACGAAGAGGGTGATTGGTCTGGGTGAAGAACGTGATAGGCTCTATTTCTACAAGGATTCAAGAATACCATATTTGTGCAACCAAGCTTCAACTTTCCAACTATGGCACAACCGTTTGGGATATCCCTCCAACCGACGGTTACAGGAACTATCCTCTAATCATTCCTTTTCTTATTCAAAAAATAAATGTGATCCTTGTGAAATTTTCCCTATAGCCAAGAAAACTATTTTCCTCTTAGCTCTAATGGAAGCACTTTTCCTTTTCAACTTCTTCATTGTGACATATAGGGTGCTTACTCAACACCAACACACACTGGTGCACGGTATTTTCTAACAATTGTGGATGATTTTAGCCGTTGTACTTGGACTTTTTTGATGAAGTTCGAATAATATTCACACCTCAAGCATTTTTGTGCCATGGTTGAAAACCAATTCAACTCCACTGTCAAAACCATCATATCCGATAACGGATCCGAGTTTCTTTCTTCTCAAATGCAAGCCTTCTTTCATGACAAAGGTATATTTCATCAAAGGTCTTGCGTCAACACACCTGGACAGAATGGGGTGGTTGAACGCAAATACCGCCATCTCCTTGAGAAAGCCCAAGCTCTTTGTTTTCAGGCTGGTTTACCTCTCACATTTTGGGGAGAATGTGTTTTAACAGCCACTAACCTAATAAATAGCTTGCCTTCTCCAATCCTCCAAGGAAAATCCCCACATGAAACTCTATTCAATTCTAAACCAATCTATCATCACTTGCGTGTTTTCGGTTGTTTATGTTTTGCTCATATCAAAACCAGTGATAAGTTTGCACCTCGTGCTCGAAAATGTACGTTTATTGGCTACCCCTATGGACAAAAAGGATACAAAATTTATGATTTGGAAAAACAAAAATTTTATGTTAACAGAGATGTCACTTTTCATGAAATCATTTTCCATTTCTCACTGAGAAGCCCGTTGATGCTTCTCACAACTCTGGCACGCCCATCCTTCTTCCTATCATTGAAGACGTTTCCCTTGAATTAACTTCACTCACAATTGCCGATACGCCCTCCATTCACCACACTCCCACCACCGAGCAGCAACCCCCTACCCCTTTTGTGTCGTCGCTCAGCCCTTCCAACGACTCGCCCTCCGAGTTGTGTCCTCCATCTAGCGACCAACCTCTTACTCCACTTGTCACTAATGGTCCACTATCGGCTCTTGAACATATAGCTTCCACCCAACAGCCCACATGCAGGTCATCTCGCCCTCATCACCCACCAGGCTGGCTCGTTGACTACAAGTGCGCTCATGTGACCTCTTCCTCCACAACCAATCACTCTACTTCAGCGGGTTATCGTTCAGGTACTGACCATACTCTTACTCATTATATTTCCTATGAAAAATTTTCCACACCTCACAAAGCTTTTTTTGTTGCTATTACCAATAACCAAGAACCTAGAACTTTCACATCTGCGTCTAAAGATGCTCGCTGGAGGGATGCTATGACTCCAGAAATAAAAGCACTAGAAGCCAATAATACTTGGCATGTTACTCCCTTGCCACCCGGAAAACATGTCAAATGGTGCAAGTGGATATACAAAATCAAAGACAATGTTGATGGAAGCATTGAGCGATATACAGCTCGACTTATTGTAAAGGGGTACACACAAGCTGAAAGAATCGATTACCATGAGACCTTTGCTCCTGTGGCCAAATTGGTCATTGTTCATTGCTTGCTCTCTATTGCCGCTACTCAGCACTGACCTCTCTTTCAATTAGATGTGAACAACGCCTTCTTACATGGAGATTAAGCAGAGGAAATCTACATGCAACTTCCACCAGGATTCCCTCGAAGGGGGGAGCATGGAGAACACTTTGTTTGCCGCTTAAAAAAATCTTTATACGGCCTTAAAAAAGCTTCTCGCAATTAGTTCTCTAAGTTCTCCACGGCCCTCCTTCAAGCTGGTTTTCACCAATCCATGGACGACTATTCGATGTTCACTCTCAAAACTCAGGACCGAATCACCATCATCCTAGTATATGTCGATAACATTATACTAATTGGCAATGATAACTCTACCATCGAATTCATCAACCAAGGTTGGTACGGTCATTCCAAAATAAAAAACCTTGGCTCACTTAAATACTTCATGGGCATCAAGGTGGCTCAGTCCAATCAAGGCATATTTCTTTCCCAAAGAAAGTATACACTTGACATCCTTGAAGAAGCAGGTCTTCTTGGAGCCAAACCTGCTGCATTTCCTATGGAGCAAAATTTAAAGCTCAATGTTAATGATGACACAGCTCTCATTGATCCTAGCTCCTACAGAAGACTTGTTTGGCATCTCATATACTTGACCATCACAAGACTAGATATTACTTTTTCAGTAAATATTTTGAGCCAATTTATGCAAACACCACGCCAACCTCATATGGATGCAGCACTCCATATTCTTCGGTATCTCACATCCAGCCCAGGGAAAGGCATTCTCTTGCCATCATCCAACAATTTCCAATTATTTGGGTATTCTGATTCAGATTGGGCCAGCTGCTCTACCACTCATCGATCAGTAACTGGTTTATTGTCCTTTTCTTGGAGAGAGCCCTGTATCATGGTGCACAAAGAACAATCAACAGTCTCCTGTTCATCTGCCAAGGCTGAATGTAAAGCCATGGCCACTACAACATGTAAACTAGTGTGGCTTAAACCTCTTCTCCATGATCTTGGTTTTGCACATTTGCAGCCCATGCATTTGTATTGTGATAACCAAGCTACCTTGCACATTGCTTCCAATCCAGTCTTCCACAAACCATGAAGCACATTGAGTTGGATTGTCATGTTGTTCGTGAAAAATTGTAGGCCGAAATCATTTCCACACAGTACCTTAGAACGGATAATCAACGCGCTGACATATTTACTAAACCTCTTGGGAAAGACAAATTTGATTATCTAGAACACAAGTTGGGTGTTTTTTATCCCCACACACCAATTTGAGGGGGAGTATTACGCCAATATTGGGCCAACCATATTGATCGAGTCAATATTCTTCTGTTGTAACTGTGCGCTACAAATATTGGGCCAACCATATTGATCGAATCAATATTCTTCTGTTGTAACTATACGCCCTTGTAGCGCCTCCTCCTTGATCCTCGGATCTTTCTCTTGTATTATATATATGTACTTGTCTCCATTAATGGAAATACACATGAGATTGCACAGAGTTAGATTGCAGAGAGTCAATTCAACTATAATTGATTAACTCTCTGCAATCTAACTCTGTACAATCTCATGTGTATTTTCATTAATGGAGACAAGTATATATATACAATACAAGAGGAAGATCCGAGGATCAAGGAGGAGGCGCTATATGGGGGTATAGTTACAACAGAAGAATATTGACTCGATCAATATGATTGAGCCAATATTGGCGTAATAGATCTGTGCCTTTTTCTCTTTGCCCTTACGTTCACCATGTTAAAGCTGTAAAGCCCCCGCCCTCTAGTTTCTCTTTATCTTTAAACTTCGAGCCTCTCAAACTCCTTTTTTTCCAAAAAAATCGAACCGAAACGGTTAACCAGACATGAAAGTAGTTCAACCGGCCGAACCTGTAAATCAGTCGGTTCAACCGGTCTAATTAAGCAAGTTCCAAATGATTAAAAAAATGTTAAAAAATACAAAAAAAAACTAATAAAATATGAAAAATATATTTAAAGGACGATTAAACAAAGCTCATCCAAATGAAGTTGAAAATTATTGAAAAAATGGACTTTAAAGAATCGATTTTTACCTAGGGGTAATTTTTAAATTTTCTAAAAAAATTTGAGAAAATGTAAAAATTAGTATTAATGACCAAACAATTTCCAATCTTTATCATAATGATGAAAAATATTAAAAAGTACATTACAAACAAAATATCTTTTTTTTTTTGGAGATTTTATATAATTTTTAAAAATAAAAATAAAAAATATCGATCTAATGACCAAAACATGCCAAAATTGTCTAATCAGACGGTTATCGATTAGAACATCCGATTTGTCCTTCAATGCTTACTCTCTCTCTCTCTCCCCCACACACAAATCACTCTATTCTCTCTCTCCAAGTTATAGCGTACCTTCCGCTAACCCCCTTCTTTATCATGGAATCTCACTCACCAAATATTATAGTGGGATAAAAAAAGCCCATGTTAATAGATTTAAAAGCCCACGAGAGCAGCATCAATGAAGAAAGCAAGTCCAAATTCGGGGACCTAAACGTAATCGTAGGTTGGTTTTTAGTCGAGGGAGTAAATAAATAGGATGTTCTTATTAGGGCACAAAAATATTTAGCAAGCCTTTTAAGCTCAAGATTTCATGCTCCCAAACAAGCAATTTGTCACTACTTCTCAAGTACAACCCAATGAAGAAAACCGATATTAGGTTACATGTGAACTCATCCACAAATACAGCATATGATCCCTGTTCTCAGCCATCCAATCCAATGAGAATCGGCTGCCGTCAAATTTTCATTCGACAGCTTAAAGTGTTTTATTTTAAGATTTATTTTATAAATTCTTTTACTAGATATGCATATATCTAACAAAAGTGTACATGATAAAAATAATAAAAAAATATTTTTTATAATAAAAAATTATTAAAAATAATTATTTATTATAAGATCATTTATCTTTTTAGTACAAGAAGGTTAAAGAATGTCACAATTCATCCTAACCCAAAATATGTCGTACTCCTTCAGGAGTATACCGTCTATACACTCCTCCGAGCAAAACTTACATTGTATTATATATTATATGGGCAAGTTTTCTATGCTTCCTCTACAGTATAAAACGTATATATTACCCCTTATCCAACCGTCCATTTTGAATGGAGGGCTAAGATTGCCCCAATCATAACCTCACTTTTC